TTTTCTGCAGAACTGCTGCTTAGCCAGTTGGTCCCCAGTCTGTAGCAGTGCATGGGATTTTTCCGTCCTAAGTGCAGGACTCTGTACTTGTCCTTGTTGAACCTCATCAGATTTCTTTTGGCCCAATCCCCTACTTTGTCTAGGTCTCTCTGTATCCTATCCCTACCCTCCAGCATATCTACCTCTCCCCACAGCTTAGTGTCATCTGAGAACTTGCTGAACATCCATCCCATCATCCAGATCATTAATGAAGATGTTGAACAAAACCAGCCCAAGGACTGACCCCTGGGGCACTCCGCTTGATACCAGCTGCCAACTAGACAGCAAGCTGTTGATCAGGGGGGAAGGGATAGCTCAGTGGTTTGAGCATTTGGCCTGCTAAACTCAGGGCTGTGAGTTCAATCCTTGAGGGGGCCACTTAGGGATCTGGGGTAAGAACAGTACTTGGTCCTGCTAGTGAAGGCAGGGGGCTGGACTTGATGACCTTTCAAGGTCCCTTCCAGTTCTAGGAGATGGGATATCTCCATTAATTTTTTTTTATTTATTTTTTACCCATTGAGCCCAATGATCTAGCCAGCTTTCTATCCACCTTATAGTCTATTCATCCAATCCATACTTCTTTAACTTGCTGGCAAGAATACTGTAGGAGACCGTATCAAAAGCTTTGCTAAAGTCAAGGTGGATCATGTCCACCACTTTCCCCATATCCACAGAGCCAGTTATCTCATCATAGAAGGCAATCAGGTTGGTCAAGCATGACTTACCCTTGGTGAATCCATGTTGACTGTTCCTGATCACTTTCCTCTCCTCCAAGTGCTTCAAAATGGTTTTCTTGAGGACCTGCTCCATGATTTTTCCGGGGACTGAGGTTAGGCTGACCAGTCTGTAGTTCCCTGGATTCTCCTTCTTCCCTTTTTTAAAGATGGGCACTATATTTGCCTTTTTCCAATTGTCCGGGACCTCCCCCCGATCGCCACAAGTTTTCAAAGATAATGGCCAATGGCTCTGCAATCACATCCGTCAACTCCCTCAGCACCCTTGGATGCAGCGCATTCAGCCCCACGGACTTGTGCACGTCCAGCTTTTCTAAATAGTCCTTAACCTGTTCTTTCACCACTGAGAGCTGCTCACCTCATCCCCATACTATGCTGCCAAGTGAGCAGTCTGGGAGATGACCGTGTCTGTGAAGACCAAAGCAAAAAAAGCATTGAGTACTTCAGCTTTGTCCACATCATCTGTCACTAGGTTGCCACTGCCATTCAATAAGGGTCCCACACTTTCCCTGATCTTTTTCTTGTTGCTAACATACCTGTAGAAACCCTTCTTGTTACCCTTCACATCCCTTCCTAGCTGCAACTCCAATTATGCTTTGGCCTTCCTGGTTACACCCCTGAATGCTCGAGCTATATTTTTATACCCCTCCCTAGTCATCTGTCCAAGTTTCCACTTCTTGTAAGATTCCTTTTTGTGTTTAAGCTCACCGAAGATTTCTCTGTTAAGCCAAGCTGGTCGCTTGCCATATTTGCTAGTCTTTCTGCACATCGGAATGGTTTGCTCCTGAGCCCTCAATAAGGCTTCTTTAAAATACAGCCAGCTCTCCTGGACTCCTTTCCCCCACATATTAGCCTTCCAGGGGATCCTGCCCATCAGTTTTCTGAGGGAGTCAAAGTCTGCTTTTCTGAAGTCCAAGGTCTGTATTCTGCTGCTCTCCTTTCTTCCTTTTGTCAGGATCCCAAACTCGACCATCTCATGAGGTACATGTCAGAATGGCTCAAAATAGCGTTAAATTCAAATAATTGTTTTTCTTATGCAGAAATTAATTTTCACCTGGCAAACACTGCTATGTGTCCCAGAAGTCCTAACAATGCACATTTTCACACAATACAGAATGGAGAGGAAGAAGTGAGCCTGCAATTGCAATAATACCTGGATTGTGTGAATGTCCCTTATATAAAAACAACAGATAAAAACCCCATCACATTTGGTCCAACCCCAGCCAATGCAGGATTGTTCCTTAAAGTGGTATTTAACAAGCCTGTAGCTGCCTATAACATCATGGTTTTAGCTATGTTGCAAACCATGGCTGTTCTGCAAGAACAGGGCAGATGGAATTAAGTCTAGCCTGGTAGAACTGCAGGTTTGGGGCCTTGATGTCTCATTCCATTCTCAACTACAGTAACTTTTAGGCAGAAAGTACCTGAACAGCCACTCCAGGCGTTGGAGGATGTTTCTGCTAACTGGTTAAGGCATTTTCTAGTGTCTGGCCCATAGACAACTTGTGCCTCCTGATACTGGGGGGACACAATATAAAGGGGGGGGACACGTGACCGCCCCATATGTTGCCTCTGGGAGGAACTTCCAGCCCCACCTCCCTGGGCCAAGGCAGACAATCCCAACAGCTCCTGGAAGGCTAGGGCCACAGGGGTGGGGACCACATGCCCCTGGGCCTGGCTGGGGGCCCAGGGAGACTCACAGCACCAGGGTCTCCCTGGAGTTCGTGGACACCTCAGCAGGGGAAGCACAGGCAATGTCCCTACCTCCAGCTGAGCAGAGTCCAGGGAACCTGCTCCTGGCACCATCTCCAGTGACCACCCGCCTTGCGTCCAGCACAGGACTGCCATGTTCTCCTCACTTCACCAGAGTGATCTGCTGCGGTGAGGGGGGAGGGGCTCTGTCCTTCTCCCACTGCGCCTCTCCCCGGCACATTCCAGCTCACTCACCCACTTTCCCTGGCAGCCAGGCCTGGGCAGGAAACGGAGGGGGCGGGACAGAGCCACTTCTCATACCAGCTCATGGTGGCTGCTCCAGGTCACTGCCTCTGTGCAGCACAGCAGCTGCCTGAAAGAGATCCCGGCTAGGGAGGTGGCAGCAGTGGCCCGCCCCCCTCTGCTCCCCACCTGGGCTCAATTGCTAGGGTCAGGGGCCAAGTAAGCCAGAAACATGCCGTGGTGGGGGAGGGGAGAGCTCCGGCTCGCTCGGCCCCTGTCCCCAGCAGTGGAGCCTGGGCAGGGAGCAGAGGGGTCAGGCCACCACCGCCTCTCCAGCAGGGTTCTCGCAGGCAGCCGCTGTGCTGCACAGAGCAGTGACCTGGAGTGGCCACCCTCAGCCGGCATGAGAAGCAGCTCCATTCACCCCTTCCACTCCCCACCCGGGCCCAGCTGCCAGGGACAAGGGCTGAGCATGCCAGGGGGCAAGTGCATCAGGAGAAGGACAGAGCCCCTCTCCTTCCCTGCTCCCAGGCAGGCCAAGCAGAAATTGGGGCGGGGATGGCACTTGACCTGCATGCCCCACTATGTGTCGCCTATGCCAGGAAGACACCAGCCAGGCCACCCGCCATTCTGAAATCAGTTGATTGTGGTTTTGAAAAATGGTATGATGGGGTCTGCCCTAACAGAAAGAACTGCTTCTCATTTGACAAACCAAGTGCCCTGTGCTTGTTTTCCAGCCTGGATGCCAGGACCGGTGCTTTATGGCAGTGCCATCGACACAACCTGCATCCTGTGGGAAAAGAAGTGCAAGAAGAACGCAGCTTGCAGATACTACGACAACGATCTCTTCAGACAAAGGTACGGCCCTGTGAGGCTCCATCAGATACCACTTGTCCTGAGTGTTTGTCTACATTACAGGGGCTACAGTGGCAGAGCTACGGCCCCATAGTTATGCCGCTGTAACCCTGAAGCGTAGACACACACTACAGCAACGGAAGGGTTTTTTCCACCACAGTAGTAACTCCGCCTCCCCAAGCAGTGGTAACTAGGCAACGGAAGCATTCTTCCATTGATCTCCCCGTGTCTATACTTGGGGGGTTCGGTCGGTGTAGCTATGGTGCTCAGGCGTATGCATTTTTCACACACCCCTGAGCACCGTTGCTATGTCAACCTGACACCTCCTCATCAATTATTGGGGGTGGACCACATCCACCCTGACTAAATTGGCCTTCTGCATTGGTTCTCCACATGTAAGGTAACTCCCTTTTCTTCATGTGCCAATATATATTTATGCCTGTATCTGTAATTTTCACTCCATGCATCTGAAGAAGTGGCGGTTTTTTACCCACGAAAGCTTATGCCCAAATAAATCGGTTAGTCTTTACGGTGCCACCGGACTCCTCATTGTTTTTGTAGCTTTTAAGTGTAGACCAGGCCACATTTCTTATCGTACACTGGTGGCGTCTTTAAAAGAACATTGAGGAATCTGCTCGGAAAATAAGGTGATGAACATGGGACAGATGGATGGATGGATAGACTGGAAAGTGGCATCATGAGATTTGCTAGCCAGACTTCCTACTCTGCTGCAGTGATGTGCAGTTAATATCTTATTAAAGAGCTCTCACAGAAACATCCCCACTTTTCCTGCCATAACCCCGGGTACAGTGAGGTACATGTACTGGCAGAGATATGGGGTAAAGGGCTGGGCCATCTGGTGATTTGTTTCTCCCTTTAAATAAAGACACTTTCTCCAAATGCGAGGAGGCAGCACTGCCCAGCAGACCGACTTCTAATCAGCTGTACTTGTTGCAAAACTTTGTATTTACTACCTGAAAAATGCTGTAAGTGTGGAGCACCGTGCTCCGCTTAAAGTGGGGCAAAGGGTTTTCATGGGGTTCCGGGGTATTCTCCACAGGACAGTTTATTGAAATTACCTCACACATGGTGCAATCCTCTGGCAAAAAACAAGTTCCTCCGTAGAATGTGTATGAGCCCCTGGAGATCCCTCCTCTCTGTCAGGGATAATATAACAGTATCCAGAGATGGAATGACACCACCAGATGCAGGGAAGTCATCCCAAACCTCTCTACCAGGGACTGCACTGGCACTGCTCAGCTGAGGAAGGGCTACAGAATCATTAGGAGGTTGGAAGACACCTCTAACTGGTTGCTTACATTGAGTAGGATTTGCTATTGGCATGAGCAAGTGCTATTCAGCCTGGGTGCAGAGGCATATTCCATTTTATTTTCCAAACCTTTGCACCAGGAAATGTCAGGATTCAGCCGACATTTTCTTTTGCCCCTGACACCCATTGATAGGTGATATTCGCCTTCCCTATTCATTGACTGACTGAAAAAGCTCTTGACCTAAACTCCACGCTCATTTGATGCATGTCCTGAGGCTTGGTGGTTGATAGATGCTGTACCCTGAAACTTTGCACCTTACCTTATTACCTTGTCCTTTTGTGTTTCTGTACCTTAGATTCCTTGGGCTCCAGTTTTTCTTTGAAGTGGGAGCTTTTCTGTGCTTCGTGGCTGTGTTCATCATTCTCAGACGACAAGAGAGGGAAACCAGGAATGCCGCAGAGCCAAAGACAATCCCAGAGAAAGAGAAGCTGGCAGAAAAGTCAAGCAAAAACCTAGACTTCAAAGTCTAACTCAGAGAACGTGAATCACATTCCATATCTGCTGCCCAGGGAAGCACACGGATTGCATTTTACTGTTACTGTGAAGGATGGATGCTTGGGATGAGACTGAACAGGAGATAAGCTTATTTATTTCCTGTCTTTATCTTTGACAGCTACAGCTTTTGTTCTTTCGTCTTCTTTTTTTATCTGCTAGTTTACATCTACCCATGCTTGAGTGGTGCCTCGTGAGCTTGTTTGATTGAGTTAATCCCTTTGGACATTGCAGCCTTATAGAGTTATATCTTCCTAAGCATTCATTCAGCTGGCAATCTGGATGATGCCAGCACTCTAAGCACTAATACCTACAGCTGAATTGTTTTTATAAAGGTTTTTGTACAGTACACAAATGTCTCTATGTATCCAAGTACAGTATTCTGTACTTGGCCATAAACACCAATTATCACAGCACTCGGGTACCTTCTTCTCTTCTTGTTACATTATTAGATGGCCTCGGGACCTCTGAAAACCTGGTCCTATTCGCACTGACATGACTAGGAGTGATGCTGTGCTAGATATATGGTTGTAAGGGCTGGCTGATATACTGAAGCTCTTGTGTTGGTTGAAAGAGAGGCTGCATGTGCACGGGGTGACCTGCTAGTTGGGAGGGAAAAGAAGTGGTACTGGGAGGAGAGGGTAGCAAGGTTGGACTGTAATGGGGTGTACTGGCCCTTTAAGCCTAAGGGGTCTAGAAGGCCACATTCCAGGGATCTGGTAAAGAACATAAGAACAGATTTAAAGAATCTTATTGCGGTTGCAGGAACAAACCATCCCGATGTGTAGAAAGAATAGTAAATATGGCAGGCGACCAGCTTAGCTTAACAGTGAAAACCTTGCTGACCTTAAATGCAAAAAAGAAGCTTACAAGAAGTGGAAGATTGGACAAATGACCAGGGAGGAATATAAAAATATCGCTCAGGCATGCAAGAGTGAAATCAGGAAGGCCAAATCACACTTGGAGTTGCAGTTAGCAAGAGATGTTAAGAGTAAGAAGAAGGGTTTCTTCAGTTATGTTAGCAACAAGAAGAAAGTCAAGGAAAGTGTGGGCCCCTTACTGAATGAGGGAGGCAACCTAGTGACAGAGGATGTGGAAAAAGCTAATGTACTCAATGATTTTTTTGCCTCTGTCTTCACAAACAAGGTCAGCTCCCAAACTGCTGGACTGGGCAGCACAGTATGGGGAGGAGGTGACCAGCCCTCTGTGGAGAAAGAAGTGGTTTGGGACTATTTAGAAAAACTGGATGAGCACAAATCCATGGGGCCAGATGCGATGCATCCGAGGGTGCTAAAGGAGTTGGCGGATGTGATTGCAGAGCCATTGGCCATCATCTTTGAAAACTCATGGCAATCGGGGGAGGTCCCAGATGACTGGAAAAAAGGCTAATGTAGTGCCCATCTTTAAAAAAGGGAGAAGGAGGATCCGGGGAACTACAGGCCAGTCAGCCTCACCTCAGT